GGCCATGACAGGGCCCTCTTTTCATGAGCGCTCAGTACCCACTAGGTGCTGGGGCCCCAGCAGTGAGCCCCACAGACCCTGTGGTTTGAGGAGGCAGTCCAGTGCCCTGAAGGCGTCACGAGAGACTAGGTGGCAGTGTTGCCTGGGGTGGCTGATGTTCAGGGATTCAACAAGGGGCCATGTGGCCGAGGGGTGAGAGGGCCCTGCTGCCCCACTGGGAATACAGGAGCAGCCCAGGCCCCACAGCATGCTCTAGTGCCTAGTCTGGTTGGAAGTGCGCACAGGCTGCTGTCTGGTGCGGTGGGGTCGCGGGAGTCGGGGATGCAGCGGGGTAGCCCCACCTAGCCCCTCACCCGAGGGAGGAACAGTCCCTAGCTTCCAGGGCTGGCACTTGTGTGCCTGCTTGGAGCTTCCCTGGGCATGGGGCTGAAGAAAGGCAGCAGGGCCCACAGGCTCACAACCTGAAGGGACGCAGCTTGCCCACCCCTGGGAGGAGAGAACTCAGGGTGGGGGGACCTGGGTCTAGGGGCCGCCAGCCTGGATGCCACCGATCATAGATGCCAGCCAGCTGCACCCCTGGGGTGTGCCAGGGACCCCTCAGGTTCACACCCCAGCTTGGTGCCCTGATGTTTCTGAGCACAGGGCTAACTGCGCTGGGGCTCTGTGAGGGCAGCCATGATGGGGCCGGCCCCTCGCCCTCCTGGGCCTGGGGAACTTCCCTAAGGGAGGCACATGGCGGGGTTGAGGATGAATGGCGGAGTGTGAGTGTGTACCTATGTGTGAGCCTGTCCATGTGGTGAGAGTGTGTGCACGTCCACAGGGAGTACACAAGAGTGTGCGCGTGCGCGCCCGGGAGTATGCACGGTGAGTGTGCCCGAGTACTTGTGCACACGTGTGAGAGGGAGTCCAGCAGTGAACAGCGCCAGCTGTGAGGTGGGCCGTAGCAGTCAGGAAGGCTGTGAGCACCCTGTCAGGACTACGTGCCCTCCGGAGCCTGGAGCTCCTTGGGATCCCACCCAGCGGCGGGTGTGGACTGCACCTGGGGCTGCCTGCAGGAGGGGAGGAGTCAGGGTAGGCGGGGTGGGGGCCAGGAGGGTGGCCATGGCCCACACCTCGCAGAGTCTGTGTTGTGCCCAGCCAAGACAGCTACGTCAGCCCTGGGAGCTGCTCTGGCAGACTGGACGGGCAGAATGGGTTTCTAGGCCTGGGGTCGGGTCCCCATGGCCGGGACGGTGGGCCTCGTCCAGGGCATCCGATGGTCTGAGGGCCTGGGGTGTCCAGGGTGAGTGTCCGGGGGCCCGGGAACCACCACCACAGAGCCGAGATGGAGACCTCAGGTGTGTGAGGGGCCAAAGAGTGTGGGGTTGGGGGTGGGAGATCACGCTTCTAGGGGGCCTGTGACACCAAGGCCTGAGGGTGGGCAAGGGCTGTTGCCATCCTCTGAGTGAGCAGTGTCCCCCATGCAGGGCCCTGGGGGATGGGCCCGTGGGCTGCAGGCACCCCAGGGGAGGAGACCCTGCCCTGCAGGGGCGCAGGAAAGCAGGCAGGCAGGCAGGGTGGGGGAACAGCGGGGCTAGGGCCGGCCCTGGGCCAGCCTTGACCGTGCGTGAGGTGTTTGTGAGTGGACAAGGGCAGCACAGTGCCCGCCATGCGCTCCGTCCCCTTGTGCTCGGGGAGGAGGAGGGTCCTGGGGCAGGGTCCCGGCCTGGAGTGCTGAGCACTAGGGTGCTCAGGCCCACAGCCACACCTAAGCAGCAGGAAGACACCGGGCTCCACCCAGCCCCACCCGGGCAGGGCCCGGGAGAGCCAAAGTGGGAAGGAAATACCTGGGCAGGGACTCTGACCCAGAGAGCTGCAGGCAGGGGCGGGGGCGATCCCTGGTTTTCCACCCTCCCTTGTCTAGACCTAAGGTGGGTTGGGCTTCAGTGGGGGCGGCCTCGGTTGGGCCCGGTCACCCCTGGTGCCAGGACTTCGTGGATTGGGCGTGGCTGGCAGGGCCCAGGGTTTGCAGACAGGCAGCCTCGGCCTGCACACCTTGAGCCTTCGTGGGGGACCTCAGCCCCAGCCTGGGCGAGAAGGGCCGAGCCCATGCCTGCCCTGCCTGCACGGGACACCCAGCCTGGCTAGGGAAGACCCCTGCCTGACGACCCAACAACTAGGCAGGTGCCGACGACACTGTTACTACCAGGACTAGGGGTGGAGAGAAAAAAGGCCCAGCTGTGAGACCCCCATCCCACCAAGAACCCAAAGCCCCTTCACTGTGACACCCTTTCCCTGCCACCGTGAGATCTCCCTCTTTGTGCCTCCATCAGCACTGCCCTCCTGAACTGGGTCCCACAGACCGGCCCCATCGGCCCTTCCCACCTTCTCCACAGATCCTGCCTGGGCACTCAGAGGCCTGGGGCAGCAGGGGCCTGGCCGGAACTCCTTTGGTCGCCCCCATGTTACTGACCTCGCCCAGGCTGCCTGGTTCCTCCCAGACCCTGACCCTGGGCCGTCCCAGCCCTGGCTGAGCTGAAGTTTCTCCCCCACAAGTCCTGTCCTGGACCCACGGAGACATGGCTGTGGGGTGAGATGCTTTTGCACAAAGGGGCTCCTGCGCGTGCACAGTCCGTCCACACGGGCCTGGCGTCTGGCAGCACCTGTCCCCCGCTCTCCTGCGGGCGGCTCTGCAGCCCTGGGCAGCTCCCCTTGGCCTGGCCCTGCCTCTTTGTGGGCAGTCTTTTCTTTATTTTAAATAAGGTTTATGTATACATGTATATGTGTGTGTGTGTGTGTGTATATATATATATATATATTTTTTAAGGCTAGTCATAAATAAGGTATTTATTTTACAACACTTAGATTTACAGAAAAAGCTGTGAGAGTGTCTCCCCGCGGCCCCATGCTGTTTCCCCGGGGGCGCTCTCTGGGATGCCGTAGCGGTGCAGCCGCAGGCAGGGGCGGGAGTGTCTGCAGGGCCTGGGAATTCCTCTGCACGGGCAGTGGTCTCCTCTGCCCCGTCTGGTTACTTGTTCAATCATTTGTACTGTGGGTTCTCACCTGTAGCGTGACCTAGACTCTAGAATACCACTTTATTTTGTTGCTCAAATGATGCAGCTTTGGCTCCCTGGGGACTCTGCCAGCTATCCCATGCCCCTCTGACACGGCCCCATCGGTAAGCGTGTATACTTGAGAGCATGCAAATACGCGTGCGTGTGCATGCCTGTTGAGCACATCCTTCCTCTCTGACGCTGCGGCTTGCTATGGGCAAGAGTCTGCAACATGCGACACACAGTATTCCCGGCCCCAGCACTAGCGTCAGCCATTTCCCGGAGGATTCCTGGTTCTTTTTATTGGGAGTGGAGTTAGAAGCCAAGACCTGGGGCGCAGATGTGTCCTTGCTCCTAAGGTGCTTCTGCATTTCAGCCCATTCAGGTGGCAGAGCACAGGCATATGTGTGCACACCACGTGTAGCCACATAGCTAGAAACATTCTCTGTGAAGCCACCCACATCCCTGCAAAGTGCATCCTGAGGTGCCTGGCTGTGATCCGTCATCACACGGACGGCGGTTTGGACGGCCTGGAGAAGGGCTGGGGGTGGGTATGTGCTGAGCAGTGCAAGGGGGTGTCTGCAGCCATCATGGAATGGGGGACAGGGTACTTGGTGCTGGGGCCAGGTGCAGCCTTGGCATTTGCCCTAGTCGGGAGGCATCAGGGGAGGGCATGTCAGAGGGCAGGCGTGCTGGGGGGGCACTCCAAGGTTCCGCTGGCCTGCTCCCGCGGAGGGAGGCTCACAGGGAGGGAGGGAGGAGTGAAGGAGAGGGTTCAGGGTTTGCTGACGGGCTAGGTGGGGTGCAGAGAGCCATCCAGGATAAGGTCCCCTGGGATGGGAAGGCCACTCTGTAGGGGAGATTGGTGCTGGGACTGGAGGTGCCAGGTGCCGGGTGCCCATGTCAGGAGGCAGCTGGGCCCAGGTGAGTTGTGGGCTGGAGCTGCAGATTTGGGAGTCCCCCCAACCCCATGTGATGCTCCTCTAGGCTGTTCCCAGGCCCGCTGCACTCAGAACCACATGTCACGAGTGATACCCACCCCCAGGGCAAAGCACCAGCCCTTAGACCCCAGCGCATGTTCAGCCCAGGTCTGAGCCACAGCGGGTCTCAGGAGCCGTCTGTGCATGTCTCCTCAGCTCCACGTTCAGTGGTGCCAGTCGGTAATCACATTTGTGCAGCACCCCTCAGAGCCACACGTATACTCACATGTGCACACACACACGTGCGATCATAGACATGCACGGCACATGCGTTTGCATGCATGTGTGTCTGCATTTATACCAAGTGCATGTGTACATGCATTTGCACGTGTGGATGTACATCTGTCAGTGCACATGTACGTCTGTGAGAGCACGTGTTACACGTGTGCACACCTATGCGTTTGCACATGTCTGTGTGGGCATGCGCACGTGTGCATACGTGGGCGTGCTGTGTGTGCACGTATCTTCATGCATATGTACAGGTGTACTTGTGCATGCATCTCTGTGCCTGTGTGAGTACGCGTGCGCACACGTATCTGAGAACACATGCATGCATGCCAGTGTGTATACATGTGTTTGATTGCATGTGTGAGTCTGCATCTGTGTGTGCACATGTGAGTGTGTGCATCGCTCTGAAGGGCGCTGCACAGATGTGAGGAAGCAGGGCCACTTCCCCAGGAACCCCGACTGCCCCCTCTTCCTGCCCCGGGTGGGGAGGCCCAGCCGCATAAAGAGGCCGGGAGCCCCCTCCGCCAGCTGCTGCTGCTGGTCCCACACCTGCCGCCGCTGCCTCCTAGCCGGGTCCAGGAGGGAGGGGTCCAGAGACGCAGGTTGCTCAGGGGTCTCCTGCCCCAAGCTGCCCAGGAGCAGGTACTGGCCATGGGGCAGCCGTGAGGAGGGGGCTGGGCGGGGGGCTGCAGGTCACTCTCCCCTCTGCAGGGTGGCCCTGCAGCAGTGTCTGTTCCCCGGCACACACCCACCCAGGGCTCAGCTGGTCTGCATGGCTGGTACCCAAGCATGGCCGTGCGCTACCGCGTCTGTGGCCTCGCTAGACACTATATCTCCTGGACAGGTGCTCAGCCTCTTCTTGTCCCCCCAGCTGGGGACAGTCTGGGCTGGCACCTTGGAGGACCAGGAGCCAGCAGCCCCAGTGCAGTGGGACCAGCTGGGGGTTCAAGGGAGGGTGGGAGTCCTTTGTGGAAGTGGAGGGACCACCAGATCACTGTACAGGGTGTGGAGGGAGACAGGACAGGGCAGCTGGGGGCTGGGGGCCTGTGGTACCACAGGCATGGGGCGCTGGGGAGCTATGGGGCTGGAGGGGCTGGGCAGGCTGGGGAGAGGCCCCCGGATGCTAGGAGACTCTGTGGGACCCTCCCCAGTGACCTGGCTGTGGCCAGAGGGTGGGATGGGGGGGCATGTGTGCAACAGGAGCTGAGACTGCACAGCCCCCCACCCTCTGAGTGGGGCTGGCCTCGGTTTCCCCATCAGAAGGCAGCTCACCCAGCCGACTCCCAAGCTCTGTGGCTCTCAGGGGGGATGCAGTCCCAGAGCTGGCACTAAGCTTTCCTGGGGTGGGGAGGGTCTGGAGGAGAGCCAGAGGGGCTCGGGTAGGCACTCGGTGGGAGAGCACCCCTCCCGATGCACCCCATGGGCAGGGGCAGGATCCGGATGGCTGCTTCCTCTTCCATCGAAGGTGGTGAGCTCCCCGTCAGCAGGGGTGTGTAAGCCGCGGCTCTGAGCTCCGAGCAGCGGGGGCTCCTGGCCGCCCCGCCCTCCCTTCCCGGGCTAAGGCCCCTTGCTGACCTGGCCGCGTGCCCGCAGGTCCCGCCCGCCTGCCCCTATGACCAACATGAGCTGGAGCTTCCTGACGCGGCTGCTGGAGGAGATCCACAACCACTCCACCTTCGTGGGCAAGGTGTGGCTCACGGTGCTGGTGGTGTTCCGCATCGTGCTCACGGCCGTGGGCGGCGAGTCCATCTACTCCGACGAGCAGGCCAAGTTCACCTGCAACACGCGGCAGCCGGGCTGCGACAACGTCTGCTACGACGCCTTTGCGCCCCTGTCGCACGTGCGTTTCTGGGTCTTCCAGATCGTGGTCATCTCCACGCCCTCGGTCATGTACCTGGGCTACGCCGTCCACCGCCTGGCCCGCGCGTCTGAGCAGGAGCGGCGCCGCGCTCTCCGCCGGCGCTCCGGGCCCCGCCGCGCGCCCCGGGCCCATCTGCCCCCCGCACAGCCCGGCTGGCCGGAGCCTGGGGACCTGGGCGAAGAGGAGCCCATGCTGGGCCTGGGCGAGGAGGAGGAAGAGGAGGAGGGGGGCGCGGCCGAGGGCGCGGGCGAGGAGGCAGAAGAGGCGGGCGCCAAGGGGGCCGGCGGGGACGGCAAGGCCGCGGGGGTCCCGGGCCCAGCCGCGCAGCACGACGGGCGGAGGCGCATCCAGCGGGAGGGGCTGATGCGCGTGTACGTGGCCCAGCTGGTGGCCAGGGCGGCCTTCGAGGTGGCCTTCCTGGTGGGCCAGTACCTGCTGTACGGCTTTGAGGTGCGGCCCTTCTTCGCGTGCAGCCGCCAGCCCTGCCCGCACGTGGTGGACTGCTTCGTGTCCCGGCCCACCGAGAAGACCGTCTTCCTGCTGGTCATGTACGTGGTCAGTTGCCTCTGCCTCCTGCTCAACCTCTGCGAGATGGCGCACCTGGGCCTGGGCAGCGCGCAGGACGCCGTGCGCGGCCGCCGCAGCCCCGGGGCCCCCGCGCCCGCCCCCGCGCCGCGGCCCCCGCCCTGTGCCTTTCCTGCCGCGGCGGCCGCGGGCCTGGCCTGCCCGCCCGACTACAGCCTGGTGGTGCGGGCGGCCGAGCGCGCGCGCGCGCACGACCAGAACCTGGCGAACTTGGCCCTGCAGGCGCTACGCGACGGGGCGCCGGCTGGGGACCGCGACCGGGACAGCCCGCCCTGCGCCTCGGGGCTCCCCGCGGCCTCTAGGGCCCCCCCCCGAGCAGGCGCCCCCGGGTCCGGGTCGGGCAGTGCCACGTCGGGGGGCACCGTCGGGGAGCAGGGCCGGCCGGGGGCACAGGAGCGGCAGGGCGCCAAGCCCAGGGCCAGCTCCGAGAAGGGCAGCGCCAGCAGCAGGGACGGGAAGACCACCGTGTGGATCTGAGGACGGGGCCCAGGGGCGCCGGGCTGAGGGGAGCTCCCGGGGAGACCCGCGGGCCCTCCTCCTCCACCGCCATGGCCTCGCCCCAGGGGCAGCGGGGCTGCTCATCCCCTCTCAGGAGGGGCTGGAGGGAAGAGGTGGCGCTGGTTAGGGAAGGATGGGGAGGGGGCCTGGGAGCCACGAGGCTCCTCAGTTCCCGTCCTCAGCTCTGGTCTGTGACCCCAGAGGGTGTCAGAGGGGGTTGTGCTTGTCGTACTCCCTGCAGCAGCTAATAGGGCTCCTTCCCCAGGGTCCGGTTCCTGCAGAGCCCAGGGCAAGCCCAGGTCTTCCTTGCACAGAAGGTGAAAGAAACCAAGGGAGGCCAGGACCTGCAGAGGTTTCTGTGCCCAGCCCTGGTCTGCACCGGCTCGCTGCCCCGTGCCTGAGACAGAGGCCCTGCGGGGGTTCCTGGGGTACACAGGACCACCCCTCTCTCTGAGCTTCTTTGACACCGGGCACAACACCTTTCTCTGGGACAAACTTGAAGTTCTGCCAATATGTCAACCATGCCTCGCAGCTTGGACCTGCGAGGTGGCAGTCAGGGGCTGTGGACCCTGCTGGGGGAAGGGGGTTCCGGGGTTCCTGCAAACGGCCTGGCCTTTCCGCCCTGCTCCCTAATTCAGACTCACCATTCAGAGAAAGAGAGCAAAATAAAACTAACTTTTGTTTACAACCTTGTGCGTGCATGTGTGCATATGCACGTGTGTGACCATGCATGCATGTGCGGCTGTGTACATGTGACCACGTGCATGCATATGTGCATGTCTGTGTGCACACATGCATGTGTGTGTGCGTGCAAGCATGTGTGTGTGCAAACATGCATGTGTGCACAAGTCCATCACTGGCCATAGGGGAGACATGGCTTAGCCCAGGTTGGCTGGGAGACGAGACCCCTCCCCAGGGACGGGCTGAGAGCAAGGCCGCAAGCTGAGCCCCTGCAGCTTGTCAGACAAGTGTGTGCCACCTGGTGCCAGGCACTGTGCTGGGGGCTAGGAGAGTGGGCGGAGCGCACAGATGGCAAGAAACAAAGAGCAGGCTCCGAGCTCAGGGTCAGCCTGCAGCTCAGCGCATGGAGGGCGGTTGTCTCAGGGCCTGCATTATTGGGATGCTGGCCAGAGCCTGCAGGGGCAGCTTTGGCAGAGGAGGACATGGTAGGGGGAGACCAGCTGCTGCTTGAAAGGAGCCCCCTCAGTGTGGGCCCCAGGTGACCTGTCCCTCCCAGCCTCCCTGAGGCCGAGGGCACCCTGGCAGCCTCTGCTGGGCTGCAAACCCCTCTCTTTCTCTGGTGTCCCTGGCTCAGTACACAAGCCTGGAGTCTTACCTCAGCCTGACTGGCCAGATGCCACCTGCAGACTGAGTCCCTCTCCTTTCTGGGGACTGCCGGGCTGACCTCCATGTCAGGTGAGCCCCACTCCCACGGAGCCGTGGCTGGGATTCTGGGAATGGAACCTCAGGGAGGGAAAGCAAACCTCAACCTTGAGCAGACGTCCACCCCAGTGGGGCTGCACCACCAGCCTCTCCATGGCAGGAAGGGTCCGTGTTACTGGCCATCCCAGGATTTGAGGCTGTGCTGCAGGTGGGGCTGTCATGCGGGGAGGCCAGGCCCCTCTGGGGGCGCATTTCGTCCAGCCACACAGGGCACCTGGGCATAGCTCACTCTTCCTCCACCATCTGGTTCTATTCAGGCCTTTTCTGAGCAAGCTTAGTCTTTGTTTATATAGATACAGATATAGAAGGTAGTATACAGCGTCTGTGTCTGTATCCCTACCTCGTGTGGTTCTGTTTCTCTGGAGAACCCTAATCCACATCCCCTCAGCCAGAGCCCATTAAAAGGCATCACAGCTGCAAGAGAAACTGCAAATGGAACTCCTATCTTTTTCTTTTCTTTTTTTTTTTTTAGAGACAGGGTCTTGCTGTGTTGCCCAGGCTGGAGTGCAGTGGCACCATCATAGCTCACTGCAGCCTCAACTCCTGGGCTCAAGCGATCCTCCTGTCTCAGCCTCCCAAGTAGACTGGACTACAGGTGCATGCCACCATGCCCAGGTATTTCATGTGTTATTTTTTGTAGGGACGGGGTCTTGCTATATTGCCCAGGCTGGTCTCCAACTGCTGGGCTCAAGTGATCCTCCCGCCTGAGCCTCCCAAGTAGCTGGGACTACAGGCGTGAGCCACTGTGCTTTCAGGCCTTCTTTGAGAAAGCTTAGTCTTTGCTTATATAGAATACGTGTCTATATCTCTATCTCCTATGTTTCTGTTGCTCTGAGAGTCCTAATACACACCCTCTGCGCCAGAGCCCGTAAAAGGGCACCCACCTGCAAGGGAAGCTGGATCGGTCTGCCTGGGCGGCCACAACGCTAGCACCACACATTTCCCCACAGCCCTGAGGCCAGAAGTCAGAGATTAAGACGTGCAGGGCTGGTTCTTCCTGAGGCCTCTCCCCTTGGCCTGCAGATGGTCCTCTTCTCCGTGTCCTCACATGGCCGTGCCTGTGTGCCTCTGTGCCCTAATCCCTTCTTTTGAGGACAGCAGTCAGCCTGGATTAGGGTCCACCCCAATGAACGCATTTTAGCTTAATCACCTTTTAAAGGCTCCATCTCCAAATATAGCCACTGTCTGAGGTCCGGGAGGTTAAGACATCAACATACCAACTTCGACGGGACACAATTCTGTCCCTGTTAGAAGGCATATGCCCAACTGGAAGCTCTTGTTACCACAAGAGAAGGGCTCTAAGGGACAGATCTCCCTTCTTGGAGACTTGGGGGTTAGGGGGGGCCACTGAGGTCCCATCAGATTTGTGACCATGTTTTTCTGAAGCATTTGTTCATCTGTCCTGATTTATTAGCTGTATAGCAGTAGATCCTCCTCCCCAGCTTCCAACCCCATTACACATTTTATTATAGGTCTCATGTTGGTGTCCTAAAATAATGAAAAATATCACAGTATAGCTAAGTACAAAATGCATCGGCCTAGAGTCGGCTAACTGATGGCTCTCTTAAAATACACAGAAGAAAAAAGTGTTTGAAATCAGTAAGACTGAGGCTCTTCCTGCTGTCAAATCCCCGCAGCAGGAACGTCCCCGGCTGTCCCTGGCCAGGAGGGGCCGTGCAGCCTTGCTGGGCAAACCCCAGCCTCTGCAGGATTCAATGGTCCTGCCTCCAATCTGGACATTACCACCATGTCATGCCCGAGCCCCAAATCAGGGCTGTCATCTCCCATCTGTGCACGAAGTGGCATCTAAGATGCTCAAGTCTACCGACTCCCAGAGGCTAAACCTGACCCAGCTACTAAACCTGGCACTTAATGGCCACTTAACTCTTTAAAAGTAAAAAAATCTCCATGCCTCAGTTTCCCTATCTGCCCAGCGTGCCCATGAGGGTGGTGAGCTGAGCCTGGGCACTGCTGACATCACCACCACCACTCCTCCTCTGCCCCCATCTTCGGAGCTCTGGTGCAGGCCAGGGGTCCCAGGAGCCGGCGGGGCAGAGCCAGGGCCGGGGCTGCTCCGGAGCAGAATCTGACAGGACCGGCCTCCTCGGCTCGGCCCCATCCGTTTCCACGGCCTCAGCCAGCTCGCCGGCTGCCCCTGTGAAGGGAGGGGCGAGTGGTGGGATGATCGGATACACCTCCAGAACGGGGGCACGTCCCTCTCCTTCCTTTAGGAAGGGAGGAAGCCCTAAGGAGAGAATAACAGGAAGCCATGGTCACCCCTGGCAGAGACTAGGAAGCGGGGTCTGGGACCCCCACATCCCGCCAACTGGCCAGTTCTCAGCTCTCCACCCCTGCTGAGAGAGTCTCCAGCGTGGCTCCAGCTGCAGCCTGGCCCCTGACAGGGGGACAGCAGCCCAGGGGCGTTGGGCCGGCCAGGCTGGGGCAGAGGGTCCAGGAAGGCTTCCTGGACAAGGGGGACCAGAGCCACCGCCACACAGCTCTGGGCACTAGAAATGTGGCCCCAGGGACCGAAAGTTCCACTGTTTCCCTTCAGCCCATGTGCATTTAAGTGGCCCCCAGTGGCGGTGGCAGGAGACTGGGAGTGTTCCGAGCGGGCCCAGTGGGGGTACCGGGTCGGCCCCTCGCCCTTCCCGCCGGCGGAGCCCGGGTGAACGCGAATTCCTCTGCTGGCTGTCGGGCAGGCTGACGTGAGGCTGCAGGAACGCGGCCCCCACCCTGTGAGTGTTGTCCCCACCTCATGTCGTCCTGCCCGGCTTCCGCTTTGTCCTCGCTGCGGGAGCCGGGAGGTGCCGGGTCACCCTCAGGAATGCCGGGCCCAGGAGGAGGAAGGGGCAGTGGCCAACGGTCAGGGAGCGCATTCCAGGCCCAGCCAGTCTCAACCGGGAAGCCAGCCAGCGGGAAGGCTGAGCGCCAGAGGGTTTGGGGGGGTCCCAGTGGGGTGGGGGTCTCTGTGTGGTGAGCCATGCCCCCACACTGGCCAGGCCTGGCTGGGAGGCATCTGGGCTTCACAGGGCTTGGGGCAGGCCTTGAGGCTTCTGAAGTGCAAGTAAGAGCTCGAGGGATGGGTGGCTGCAGCCAGGGGGAGCAGGCTGATAGGCAGGGCCTCGAAGGCCAAGTCCAGGGCCTGCCTGGGACCTGACCACACCTGGGAGCAACACGCTCAGACAGGCCCTTTCTGCGGAGATCTGCCTGGGTTGGGAATTCATGGATCCTCCCGATGGTAACTGAGCCCCGAATTTGAGCTGGGGGCTGTGTGGGCCCTGGAGATACGCCGGGGGGCTGTGAGAAAGGCTCCCGAACCCTCCCAGGCCCATCTGTGCCCTTCCTTGGAAAATCCAGTTTCAGCAAGAGCCCTGCTGAGTCGGTTCCCCAGAACCCCCCAACCTCGAAACCTGACCCTCCTCCTCCCTCCCCCAGGGGATGTCTGGTCGCCCTGGCCTGCCTGCAGCGAGGAGAATCCCCGGCACCCCGATGTCTCCTCTTCGGAACTTTCCACCTGCTGACCCCACTCTGCCCCCTGGCTGCACGTCCCCGCTTGCCCCAGCTGTGTCCAGGGTGAGCCGGGCGTCTCTGCCCCCACACAACCCCATGGCTGGGGGCCCTCCACTGAGGGAGAGGGCCTGATTCAGTCCGCCATGCAGGCTTTAGCAAGCGTCAGTGAGAAATTTTTTTCTTTAGCAGCTACGAAAACTCCTGCTCACCTGGAGCTCCAGACCATAAACAAAAGTCATTTTGAGTAAGTGGAGTCTTTGGTGCTTCGAGTCGAGGTCCGTGGAGAAGAGAACGAGGTCAACATGGCAGTGTGTCCCAGGAGGGCCACCCTGCAGATGGGTCACCCACCCCCAGAAAGAGGCCCCTGTGCAGTGGGAGACCACCCCTAAAGGGTCCAGCCACCCAGAGAGGCAAATGGGGACAGCAATCCCCGAGGAAGCGCCACGGGGTGGATATGCCACACAGGCCTGCAGTTCCTACCAACACTGTCCTGGAGACAACACGGTGAATCCTAGGAGCGCCGTGCTCTGTGAGGACGGGCCAGGCTCCAGGGCAGACTTGGCGTCCCACATTCAAGGGGACTGAAGACACACAACAGTGGCCACCACACGTCCGTGGTGACCCTGCCTGGACAAAAGGGGTAGTTGCCGAAGATGGGCTTGGAGACATTAGAAAGGTTGGTGGTGTCTGGGCACAACACAGGGATTGGGGGCTGGCGGGGCGGTGGGCAGGACGGTGCCTGTCCTTGTGCTCAGGAGACACCTGGGGTCGGAGAGTCCTGCCATTCAGCAAAAAGGAAAAAAAATAACATAGATGGACGGATAAGGCAGAGGCAGCAAACTGTGTACAACTGTCGAATCTGACACGACAGGTGTCCTTATAGGACAAGGAAGAGGCAGGGTTCGGCGGCTCACACCTGTTATCCCAGCACTTTGGGATAACAGGAAGGTCGTTTGAGGCCAGGAGTTTGAGTCCGGCTTGGACAACATAGCGAGACCCCGTCTCTCCAAAAAAATTAAAAATTAGCGGAGATGGTGGTGCGCGCCTGTAGTCCCGGCTACTGGGGAGGCTGAGGCAGGAGGATCGCTTGAGCCCAGGAGCTGTGATCACACCACTGCACTCCAGCCCAGGCGGCAGAGCGAGACCACACTTAGACTCGCACAGTAGCCGCAGGTGAGCAGGGACCACGTCATCCATTCGGCAGGAGGGGTGGGGCCTGCGCACTGACAGACAGGCCGAGGCCCCGCCCCTCCCATCCTCACGCACACGCCGCCCCTGACGCAACACGACCAAGCTGCTCAGGCACCGAAGCCACGCCCCTCACGCACATACGCCAACACCGGCCCAACATTTCTGCTCCTCACGCAACACATCCACGCTGCCCCGGCCTTCACGCACATACGCCAACGCAGCTCCACGCGGCGCACAGGGGCCCACGCTGTCCCGACGCTCACGTTCGCACGCTCCGCCCGCCCCTCCTGCTCACAAGTCCGCGCGGCCCTGCCCCTCACGCACGCGCCTCCCGTCCCTGCCCGCTCTCCTTCCGGCGGCCACCGCCAGAGGCCGCTGTGGCGCACGCCCTTCCCGCCACCACCACACTCCTGCCCAAGATGGCGGCGGCCATGCTGCTTCGGGGCGCGGCTCCCGGGCGCGGCGGCCCGGCCTGGCGTTGGCGGCTGAGCGGGACCCCCAGGCGCCGCCTGGCCCACGGTTCCGGCTTTCCCTGCGGTGACCCCGCGGGCGATGCAATATGGACTTGCTTCCGGCTGGACGAGCGCGCCCTGGTGCGCGTGCGCGGCCCGGACGCGGCGCCGTTCCTGCTGGGGCTGCTGACCAATGAGCTGCCGCTTCTGGGGCCTGCGGATGGCGCAGTCCCGCCTCCTGCGCGCGCGGGCTACGCCCATTTCCTGAACGTGCAGGGCCGGACGCTCTATGACGTCATCGTGTACGGGTGAGCTAGGGAGGGGGAGGGGCGGGGACGGTTGCGCAGGTGGCGTATTCCGGGGGCGAGAGGGGGCGGACGGGCACGGCGCGCGCGGGGGCCGGTACCGGGGCCTCCAGGGCCTGCGGGGACGTGGGGGGCGGGCACCCACGATCGGGTCTGTAGAGGGTAGGGGGTGGATAGTACAGAAGTCACCCGGGGGAGAAAGGGCCGCCGGGAAAGGCCGGGGTGGATGCCCAGGGGAGAGAGGATTCCCGGGAAATGCTGGGCTGGACACCCAGGGGAAGGTCCCCGGGGAAGGCCGGGCTGGACACACAGGGATGGGCCCGCCACTCTCCCACCGTGTCAGAGCAGAGACCCCCCATGCACCCAGCCTCACGAGGGGGCCCCTTCCGAGTGGGGGCGCGCCTCGCCCTGCCTGGTCGGCCCCTCCCGCTGCAGGGACCAGGGGTCGGCGGTTGCCGCCTGCAGGTGTGGCCGTGTTTCTGGGTCCCAGCCGTGCCGATACTCCCCGAGTTCTGGGTGTGCCCTGTGTTCCCCACTGCCCCTCCCAGAGCTCCCCGTGCCTGGTTATCTCCACTGACGTCCTCACGACGGAGCGATGTTCACTGCCCGGCGGCTCAGGGCCTCGATCGTTGACAGCATTGGTTGCAGTTTCCCTTGCCCAGCTTCCCGGCACTTGGATCCCCGAAACCGCGGCGGGATCCCCGCCGGGCGTGTGTCGGAACCCCGGCTTGTCGGAGTGGTCCCTGGGCGATCCGGGCCTGATCCCCCCGCCGCTCTCTTCTCGTAGACCCACCGCCTGTGCTCCTTGTCTTCCTCATCCTTGGTTTTGGAGAAGCACCTTCTGTAACAACTTCCTGAGACACGTGGGGTGAAGTTTGGGGCTCATTTTATCTTGGCAAGTGGCTTTACTTGATAGCTCGGCTGCCTGTTGAAATTCTAGGTTGGAATGTGTCGCCGAGAATGTCGCATCGCCACTTCATTTTCTTTTTTTTTTTTTGTGGCCACATGTACTCACCACTTCATTTTCTTGCTGCCAGCTTTTCCACGAAGTCCAGTGCCGTTCTTATTTCCAGTGCTTTATATGTGAACTGTGTTTTTTCTGGAAGCTTTTAGGAACTTTTTAAAAAAATCCCTGATGTTTTGAAATGTCATGCTGCTATTTCTTATTTTGGAGTTTTTTTTAATATCATATCGCTGGCCACTGAATGGGCTCCTTGAATGTAGAATTGGGGTCAGTGAAACACAACCTTGTCAGATCCAGCCTGTTGCCTGTTTTTGTAAAGAAGGGTCATTGTTTCCAGGTGGTCTGGGGCTTTTTGCATGCAGTGGTGGAATCGTAGTTCTCCAACCGAAATTATTCACCTTCTGGCTCTTTACAGGAAAAGTGTGTCCACTCCAGCTCTAGAGGTCTAAGTCGTTATGTCCCCGATTCAGAGATGCCGTAGTCTTTGTCTGTCTTATATATTTATTACCTTCCCTCTGTATGCTTTCATTTCTTCATTTTAAGAACTACATTTTGTGATTATCTTGCACCTTCTATGTCAGTAATTTGCAGCAGTATCTCTTGATTGTTGCTGTTCATGTGTTAGCTCTGTAACGATGCTGTTTTGGTCCCCACATTCCCTTATGTCTGCAATCTCCTTTCATCCTTTCCCTTTGAGTGCGTTTCACTGAATTCCTGTTTTTATTAAGTATTATACAGTGTAAAGTACAGTTGACCCTTGAACAGCACTAATGAACTGCGCAGGTCCACTCACATGGAGATGTGCTCCCTCTGCCCCTCCTGAGACAGCAAGACCAAGCCCTCCTCCTCCTCCTCCTCCTCAGACTACTCAAGGTGAGGACGGGGAGGATGAAGACCTTTATGATGATCCTCTTCCACCTGATGAATAGTAAAGTAAATATATTTTCTCTCCCTGATGATTTTCTTAATAGCATTTTCCTGTCTCTAGCTCACTTTAGTAGAATACAGTATATAATACACATAACATACAAAAGATGTGTTCATCAACTGTTTACATTATTGGCAAGACTTCCAGTCAATAGTAGGCCATCAGCAGTTAAGTTCTGGGGGAGTCAAAAATTATACTCAGATTTTCAACTTCGTGGGGGTGTCTGAGCCTCCAGACCCCAGGTTGGCCAGCTGTACTTGCTTTTGTTGCTTGGGGTGTTTTTCTTTTTCAGACTTTCCCACCCCATCTGGAGCGTGTCTGCAGAGCTGCTGGGCCTCAGTTCTTGCTAATGAGCCTGTGCCCCGACCTGCCATTTGCCCTGATCGTGGGGGGGG